TCTAACACTTGATTGCTTTGGGGGGGGGGCTTAAAGCCAGCTATCAGCGATGTGGTACAATTGCAACCTTACCGTCACTTGGAGATGTTTAGACACTAGCCCTGAAGGTGGAGAGGCATGCGGGAGCAGAGCAGACACCAATCAACCTTCAAGCGACAACAATTAAGCAGACAGTCTCCTATAGTTAAAACGACCGACAAAAGTTACCCGGAAGACACCGACAAGCCCAGGCAAGGGAGTGACACTTTAGATAAGAGCGGGAAGAAGTAGGAGAGGGATAGCTCCTCCAACACTATGTCGATCAGTCAGTGTTGCAGATGTCATGACTACGGTCACATCGCCTCCAGTTGTCCCACGAGCAGAGTAGTCATACTTACAAATTAAGGTGCCTTGAAGGAGGTTAGTGAGGAGGAGAGAGCTGAGGGACTAGAATGAGATACTTCATCTTCCTCCAGATAGAGAGACTCATAGTTCGACTGGTCCTACAGACCGATATTGATACGAGGGGTCCGCAGTGGCTTCTCCACTATTTTTTACACCCGCTGCACAATGAACGAAAATGTATATAGTCTTATTATTGACGATAATAGCGGCAAGAGCGTGACATCAACTCAAATGGTAGAGAAATTGAGACTCACGACTTAGAGGCACTCCAAATTGTACTCACTGAGATGACTGAAGAAAGTGAATTGGATTAGCATCGACTGAAGATATTTGGTAGAGTTTTCGATCAGAGGCCAACTGCAGAACTAAGTGTGGTGTGACATGGTCCCCATGAATGGACGACTGTGGCAGTTCAACTAAAGGACTCAACATGATGGATTCAGAAGCACATCATTCTACCGGGTCTGAGATCACGAAAACCCTTACCAACAGAGTAGAGTCAGTGGGTCAGTTCTAGTGATGACACAGAATGAGACACCGACTCTAGAAACAGGGCAGTTAATCCAGAGAGGAAGTCAGGATCTCACAGTCGACACCATATCACCAGCTCCACCACCAGATGCGAGATGTAGGCTACTCTCACGACACATCAAACTGACCCGACTTTTAGTTACCTTGAGAGGATCCAGCAGTACAGGCTCAAGTGATGCCGACTTCTTTGATACATATGGGAGTTGGAAACAGACCGGTCCTGGGGAATACCGGGCCGAGTGACCTGGGCGAGACTCCTAAAAGGGCGAATGGCCTCCTAGTCTATTAGCCAAAATGGGGCTAGTATATTAGCGAGTTGTTATTTGAACTTTAACACAAAGACCAGACTATTGACTTGCTTTAAAAATAATTATGTATTTTAATAGGATAATTAAATTTAACAATTCTATTTGCTACAAAAGCATAATAGAGTGGGGGGTTATCAACCTTGATTTAGGAATTAATTTTGGAATTAATTTTGCGTGGGTGTTGCTACCTTAAATCTGAGATGACATTCAAATACATAACTTATTGACTTGCTTTGAAAATATTTAGTGTATGATTGTGTTGAAAGAATTAGATTCAAATTAATGAAATTGAAGTTCTAATCAAATTTTATACCAAAGATCAAAGTTTGGGATGACAAGGTCTGAATAAATTTGTATTACGAAAAAATTATTATTATTGGCGAGATATGAAATCTCTAATACAAGAAGCAAATGATTTAGAAGCCCAAGCAATTTAATTACTAGTATTACATTAGACTTTTATATGCATATGAATACAAATTTCATCACATTAGATAATTTAATGATATTTAATACATAAAAAAGTATAATGCACTAAATATGCTCGCTAGATTGTTAAAAACATAATCTCATGTTATTTCATATTGTGTAAGTGATATGATACACCATGCATATTCAAAATTCATCTATTATTTCAAATGTTGCACATTGATATCTAAATTATAAGTTGATATAGGTTGAGCATAACATGTTCATAAAATTCTTAAAATATTTTAAATGCTTATGGGAATGATAGAGAAAATAAATAAGTCCACGAAGGGTTATATCACGGCAGATAGATTGAAAGTTTATGATGACTTTCACAAGGAAAGGCAAAAGTTCTTTTAAGATGAGTCTTAATTGAGGCCAAAAGAGGTTCATGAGTTTTGAT